CTGCATGCTTTAGAAACAGCCGTACTCTGCTTGTTTCCAAATCCTTACACACACTTGAACCTAAAATAATCATTGATAAAATTCGAAAAGGTTGAAGCGAATTACAGTGGGCTGTTTACATTAATCTCGCGTCATAAAAGCATTCTGAGCCGAGGTGAAATTACATGACTCAGCCAAATGCACAAGCTCTCTTCTTCATGAGCATTTGAGTGTGCGGATAAAAACTAGATTAGAGCGCCATCTGCTGTAAAAATTAGTGGTCGACCGATATATAGCCAAGGTCGATATATCAGCTGATATTTGGCATTTTTTAAATATCGGCATAGGCTGATAAGTTTTCCTGTTTGGCCGATACGTTCGAGGCGGGACTTTTATTTTGACGGCACTGAGAACGGTAGCGCCTGAACACACAGTGCTCACATTCTCCCTTTTGTTCGCTGTTGTCTTAACAGTTCTGTCTAAATACGGATAGAAGTCTGTCTAATAATCCGATAGAACGGTTAAATAAATGAATTAAAATGTATACAAAAAGTCTCATAACGATTGCTTTTATATTTTTAGTAATAGAAAGGCAAACATTATAATACTTTCTTGTTTGCCGTCAGCATTCAGCAAATACGCATTTATATCATTTAAACAAATCTTTGAATGTCTAATAAACCTCTAATTTCAAAAACCTTGCAAACTTAGTCGAATCTAGTTGAGATCTTGTGAAGTGTGCATGTGTATCCTGCATGATCGCGTGTTCTCTGTGTGACGGTAGATCCGTGAGAATTGAATGCGGACAGGAGGAGAGTTCAGCTTCACTGGAGACGCGCGATATGAAATATGAAAATATGATTAATGCACACAAACTTCCCAGAATACTGAGTGCCCTGTTGGTTACAGTGTTTACTTCCTTTTTAATTATATTTTTATTAAATATTTATTTATTTGTGAAAAATACTTTGTCATCTAAAGTATAAGTATGTTTATTTAACACATTTATTTTTTTAATCAATTTTCAAATGATTTCAAATTTCTTAAAAATTAATTAAAATAAAAAAAAATTATATCGGCCATCGGTCACCCTGCTTTCCAAATTATCGGCATCGGCTGTCAAAAAACCAATATCGGTCAACCACTAGTTAAAATCTAAGCTCAGGATCGATTCCAGAGAGAATCGCGATGCATCTCAATCGATCCACGAATCGATTCTGCATCGATTTATTGTCGCAGACCTAATATTCAGTGATTTTGTGAATGTTGTGATTTAACATACTTGGTTTAATTTGCCTTTTAAGTTTCTTAAAGACCGTGTCATTAGACCATGGAAATCTGCTGTCCTGCAGAGTTTATATTTAACCCTAATCACACATGTCTGAACCAAATAAAGAAGGGTTTCAGTTTCATTAAAATCACAAAGACAAAAGCATTTTACTTCTTACCATATTAAACTTTTTTTGGCTTCAGTGGCTGTTGGTTTAAATGATGGTGCCTTATTAGGCCTAGCACTAATGCGACCGACAGCCTATATTAAGACATAGTGTAATGCACAGATCTAATATAATGTTACACATCTGATGTTTTTCCCCAAACTTTCAGTTAAGACATAACAGATTATGTTTGCGTTAATACTTAAAGCTGCAGTCCGTAACTTTTGGCTCTAGCGGTTAATAAACAGAACTGCATGCGTCTTGTGGAAGAACATTGTAGCCGGAGCTACTTTTCTCTGTTTATGTCTATGACGAATCAGGCAAGTACTGGGCTACTCCGCAGCGTTACCTAGCCGAACCAGTCTGAAATGGTCCGAATATAAACACTTATTATAGGTGTACTGTAGTGCTTCAGGACAAGCCAAAAACACGGTTTAGAAAATGGATTCATGGTTCGCTTATTATATAAATTGTCAATTTTGAACACAAAGTTACGGACTGCATCTTTAAATATATTTAGCCTACTGTAATTCTGTATATATGTGGGGATCGCGTGGCATCGCTGTCGTCTTTATGCGGTTGCTTCGGATGTCAGTCAGCACGAGAAGCGAGTGGAGAAATAGGTACTCCTCTCAGAAAGTATACAAATAAAGATACTCTTAGATGTTTAATTACTATTTGGAGCATTGGGGTCACTAGACGAGTGCTTAATGAACTCATTTTGTGAAAACTTTAAATTCAATATTTTTTTTTTCACTTTTTTAAT